GCCACGCCACGCTCCCCCCCCCGCCCTCGAGGCAACCCCCCCACCCCCCGCGGCAGCTCCCCCGCCCCCTCGGCCCGGAGAGCCATGTGGCAGCTCCCCACCCCAGCTCACCTCTGCTATGCCCCCTCCTCGAGCACGCTATTGCTGCTCCACTTCTCCCGCCTCCCAGGCTTGCGGCGCCAATCAGCTGTTTGGTGCCGCAAGCCTGGGAGGGGAGGAGAATTAGAGCAGGGGCGGCGTGCTCGGGGAGGAGGTGGAGCAGAGGTGAGCGGGGGTGGGGAGCTGCCGCGGGGGGGGGGGGGAAATTGGGAGCACTGCTTTTTGGCGCCCCCAAATCTTGGCACCCCAGGCAACCGCCTAGTTCGCCTTAATGGTAGCACCGGCCCTGGCTCCACCCTCCAAATGTAGTCACTCATTCAGATCTCAGGGACTCTTCACACCCAGGCTGTCCCACGCCTTGGGCCTAGGCCAGGGAGCAGGTGGCACTCTCCATGCCTTTAAGCCCAAAGTCAGCATGGCTCTGTAGCCAGCTGGCCATCACTTCCCCGAGCAGCTGAGGCACCTCACCTCCCGGCACCTCAGTCGCTCCTCGCTGTAGTAAGATCCTCCCACTCTCCTCTGTCAGGTGGCTGTTGGCTTGTAATAGCCTGGGGAAGAGACAGCATGTGGTTTTGGAGAAGTGGGGGGTGGAAGGCATCAACAGAGAAGATGATAGAGAGAGGGGGCGGGAGGGAGAAGATCTAACTAGTTCAGTTCTTGTACATTAGCCAACATATTCCAGCCCCACAGGAGGCAGGAGGCTGGCAATGGGGAACAAGCCCCTGCTCAGATTCTGGAAGAAAATGAATTGCTGATTCTGAAGGGAGGGGAAAGGACGAAGGGGTTAGCTGCACCTCATGGTTCTTGCCCCCACTAATTCTGTCCAGGAGAACACCCACCTACTGCAAGAGCTCTGCGAGGGCAGAGGTGGCACCATCTCCCACAGAGACCAAAGATGGGGGGTACACGCACCTCTGCAGCGCTTCTTGGGGGCTGCGTATTTTAGGGGGCTGGTGCTTGTTCTCCTCCAGACTCAGGAGACGTTCAATCACCTTCCTCTTAGAGTTCAGCCATGCGTCACTTTCCTAGAAATCAGAGATGCGGGCAACAGAAGTGATTGTATGTTTCTATAGCACCTTTCACCCTCAAGGATCTCAAAGCACTTTACCAACTACGTACAGCTCATCTGAACAACCACCATGGATGCTGGGGTGGGGTGAATGGCAGCACTACACAGTAGTGGAGGTGATAATCAGGGGAGGACAAAGTATTGCCAAGGACACCACTACTCTTACAAACAAAATACTACAAGTTCTTTAATATCTCACCTCTGACTTGGATAGCCCATCTCTAGAGGGAAGAGGGGAGTTCAGCTTCCTTTGCCTACCTAATCCCGGGCCTTTGTCCTGACCCTGCCAACAAGACAGCCAATTAGTGGTGATGGTCATTGGTGTGGGGTGTACGCCTGTCCCACTAGGAACTGGAATGAGATCCACCAAATCCTTTCTGATGACTATTTTGGTGACTTACTTGAAAGGAATGGGCCCTAAGGTGACATTGTCAAAGGGCCTCAGAATAGTCCTCATCTATACAACTTTGTGCATGTATAGACAAGTGGAGAATTTACACCTTCAGATCACCCATTTGTGATTAACCTGCACTTCACTGTTGTGTCCAAATGGGTTTGGAACAAGCAAGTTCTGCCCTGGCACAAGTGACTGTGAGATTTGAGCATGCAAGTGATTGTGTGTGCAGAGGCTTGGTCTTCGCTTAAAAATGATGTTGGCAAAGCTACGTCAGTCGGGGTGTGAAAAAGACCACACCCCTGATTAGCATAGCTATGCCAACAAACCTCCCAGTGTGGATGCAACTATGTCGATGGAAGAGGGCTTCTCTCAACATAGCTAATGTTGTCAGAGAACTGGTGTTCCTACTTGGAAAGAAAAACTCCCGTTGGTGTACGTTACGCCTACACTATGGCTGTGCTGACATAGGCTCTGTACTATAGACATAGCCTCTCTCTGGGTATGTTTCAAAAGTGTTGCCAACTCTCACAGTTTTGTCAAGAGTCTCGTGATAATTCTTGCTTTCCTTAAAGCCCCAGCTCCTGGAGCCAAGTGGCTATGTGAAGATTTCAGTCTTTGTTCTTAAAGAAAAAATAAGTTTCTAGCCCTTGTGGTTGTGGAGAAAGCTTCAAAATGTGACCCCCAGTGCAGCCAAAAAGCTCAGAAAGCAGAAGGCGAATAAAAAACACCAAATCTATTATTTTACATCATCTCATGATTCTAAAGCCAACCTCATGGTTTTTGGTGACTCATGATTTTTGAACATTTGGGGTTGGCAATACTTTATCTGTGATAAGATTGGAACCACTGAACTAGAAATGAAAGTCTTCATGCCCCATCATCAGTTCCCTCAGTCATCCAGCCCTGGGATGGTATGCTACTGTGTTTGTCCAGTGCCTAGCACAGTAGGGCCCCATTTCTGGTTGGCCCTTAGGTACTACCCTAAGGAACATGATTACGAATAATAAACAAGGGCATTGTTTCTTCACTATGAACTCCTGAAGCCCCAGGCGGCTCCAGACATGTATTGCTCATTTAGATCTGTTCTGACCAGCACTGTACCTGGGGAAGAGACGGGAACTGTTCTAGTTATCTTACGTCTCTCAACCTCTTGTTCCTTTACCTGCTGCAATTGGAAATGAGCCCATGCCCTCCAGAAGGGAAGACCACCGAGAAACCTGCTCCCCTAGTGGCAGTACAAGGAATGAGCCTTCCAAGGGGTTTTTCTTTACCCTGTCATCTCTCTCTTCTGTGTCTGCCAAAGGGAAAAATCTAACCTGAGGAGCTGGGAAGAAGCCATAAGATTCCACCAGGATCAGCTTATCTACCATCTCAGGGAAAATGCAGGAGAACTGGAAAGAGACAGAAATATTGTGAGAGGAAGGAACAGAGAAGGGTCATGTTCTTAGCTGGCCCAGAACGTACACAATTCTCTTAAGTGTCCTGTATCGGGAGGGGCTTCCTCTCATCTTAGACACAAATTTGTTTCTGTCCCATGCAGGCTGCCCCTTAATTCCCCCAACCTATAGGGGGCCATCCCCCTTCCATCTGAGTCAACCGCATGAATAAAGGCTGCTGTACTCACCATTCCTGCGACAGTCCCACCTGTGAGAGAGAGGAGGGCACTTGGCTTATATACAGTGAACACAGTACAGGGCAACACCCTTCCCCAGAGTGACAGCTACCAGGAGGATGCTGGGGAGTATTGGTGGGGTGGCCTAGAAGTGCTCACTTGACAAGGAGGCAACAATCTCACCTGAGGTTTGAATCCCAAGCCACAGGTCAGTGCGTCTCCCAGCAGGGGGCACTGTAGGAAATAGGGCAGGGATACTGGCTGTGGGGGAGCTCCCTTCAGACACCACACCCAGTCTACCTCAGCAGGAAGCCCGGGCTAGTGGGGAGCTGCCAGCAAAAATGGTACAGTGCTTTGGGAACAGGGAGATGTGGTCACAGATGGGATAGATCAGATCTGGGGCATCAAACCCACCAGGGAGAGGAACATTTTTAATTATGGTCCATGGCCCAAGGGATAAGTTTAGGGGTACTTGATCCCCTCAATTCACAGCATTTCTCCCACCAATGGCAATCAAGGATGGAATATGGACTGTATGCAATAACAGTGAGGATAACAGGAAGTCCTGCTAGTTACATTCAGTTTCACTCAGTACTGTCACCTTTAGGCCTCCATGCTTTCCTCTGTGTTCCCTCCCTTTCCTGTTCTCCTTTCTCCCTCCCTTCCTATCTCCCCTTCTTTCTCCAGAGCAAAAGCGAGAAGGAGGGAGGACAGGGAGCCATTCCTTTCCTGCAGCATGTCTCAATTCCCCCATGGACTTCATACCCACCCCATTTCCCATCCCATCTGACAAAGTAATGAACATCTAAAGAGTTCGTGATATGTAAAGTGTCATCCTTAGGATTTAAAGTTAATGTCCTGATGAGATCAGTAAGAGGGTTCTGGGAGGTTACATCTTACAGAGCCATTGTTTCAGGCTCTCTGCCAACTCAGGAAGATAGCACTGCATTGATTGAAACCCACTTTGCATTTGGACTGTTTTTCTTGTACTCAAGAGGCCGAGACATTTAGTTTTTTTTAAAGGAGTGCTTAGATGATTGTGTGTAATTCGAATGCGGTGTGGGCCACATAATTGCATCAAGTGGGTGGGGTGCTTGGCACTTTAAGAGAACATACTGCAGTCTATTCTCTCCCAAAAGAAAATGATGCAAGTTAATCATTCACCAATGTTTGCTGGCGTCAAACTGCCATTGGGACAAGTGTCACTTACCCAAACTGTGGCCCATTAGAGTAAATCGATTCCACTTCAAGGCTAAAAAGCAACAGATAAAACACTGGATTAAATACACAGCAGTGATGTGTTGCCACTCACCCCTTCCCTACACACAGGGACCTAAAGAGCCTTCACTGATGTTTTGCTTCCTAGTCAGGAAATAGGATGGATTAGTAGGCCAGGTTTACAGGGACCAACCTCCTCCTGCCTCAGCTTCTCACTGCCTGTGAGCTGGTACCAGGCAGTTCCCTCTGGCTCATAGATCTGACCTGCCACAACTGTTCCCATTCAGGGCAAGTCCTTGGGCCCATCAGTCAGACAAAGGAGCCTGGCTGCATTCTGCACTGTAGGAAAGACGAGCCTCTGAATGCTCTGCTGTGGAGCATTCATAGGGAACGACAGGCATTCATAGGGAATTCATAGGGCAGACGGGGCCATGGTCCTGGGGAAGGACTGTTATTACTCTTAGTGAAAACGCGTGGCATAATGCAGCATGCCAGGCTCCTAAATCACATGATGGATTTTCATAACAGCCCTTTAGGTTTGTGGAAATCAGCCTGGAAGTTACAGCCCCGTTCATCCTGCTCCTATAAATGTGCCCTGGCATCTTCAAGACAGGGTTTGCACTGCAGCACTTCAAAAGAAAGGGGGGTGTGCTCCTTCGGCTCTGGGGAGATGGATGGTGGTACTGAGCAGCGGACAGCTGCTTTTCCAGTTTCACTACCAGGCAGGAAATCAGACCAGGTGGTGTGGAGGATTTGCAGAGTCCTGGTCACGTCTGCTTTTGTTTATGGCTGACCCTGTTGTCAAACACAAAAACTAACTCCATGCACCCACTGGCGAGTCACAGAGAAAGGTTCGACAGGAAGAATTTAGAGACTCTTCTAACACTGGTCTGAGTGGGGGAGCAGAGCGCAGACCGTTGAAGTCTGGGGGCTGGTTGGTAAGAAGGAGCGAGCCTGGCAGCACACAGATCCATTGGACACATCAGCAGGTCAGTAACTGCTGCTCTTACGGGGTTTTATTTCTATCACATGGTTTCATGTTTCTCGTTCTGGAAAGTGTCAGAAACTGGGCTCTTCATCCAGGCTGTGGGTGCAGAGCGCTGTTCCTGGGTGCTGGTGGAACTGCAGCTTTGGAGAAGGGACCCTCTTGTGCTTGCACCTGGGTTCCTGAGGGGTCTGGCTCCTGCTGTGGTCAAGGCTCAGCTCCTGACTGGAGTCCCATGGTGCCTGGAGCCCAGGTAAGCAGCATTATCCCCCCTCTGCACCTAGCACACTTTCTGGATGAAGGGCTCTTTGAAGGGGCTCAGTCTGTCTAAAGCCAAAGTCAAGGAGGAGTCTGGCCTCGGGGGCTATCCAGAGGATGGATCATAGTGAGGCCAGGAGGAAGCAGAGGATAACTGGTCATGGGGGGGTGGTGTGTGAGAGGAGTCCTGTCTGGCTGTGGAGTCAGGAACACAAAGCTCCCTGCCTTGCGAGTCCTCCCAGCCTGCTCACCTGCTGTCACCCTGCGGATCTCGCTCACGTAGTCCAGGAAGTGGTAAGGAAAGCCTGCGGGCCGGTGGGATGACAGGCCGTGGCCCCCAAAATCCATTGCCATGTAATAGTAATCTGAAAGAGAGGCAGGGGTGACAGTAAGTCACAGAGCAGCCTCCCTCCCCGCAGCAGCAAACCAGAGGCTCTACCATAACAGATCTGCCCCACCTTTAGGGAGCAATGGGATGAGTCTGTTGAAGGTGTTGGCATTGTCCAGCCAGCCATGCAAGCAGAGCACAGGACGGCCTTGTGGGGATCCCCAGGCCTTGGCTGCAATGTGGCCCCAAGGAACTGGGAACTTTAACTCCGAGACCATGCCTGAAATACAACATACATCAGCAAATTACCTCACCCGAACACTGCAGCCTCATTGCTCAGTTTGGGTGCTGTGAGAGTCATCACATAGTGCTCAGAACAGGTAGAGGGCTACACAGGTGCCAGCTGTGAGTCACCTAGCAAACTCCAGCCTGTGCTTATGTAGTAACTGTTTGCCACCCCCAACCCTGGGCCTGACCCACCTCCTCCTGGCCTCTCACTAGTCCTTGCCCATGTACAGCCTTGCAATCACATCCCTCCTCTTCCTCCCACATCCCAACTCCCCCAGTTTCACCAGCTGTCTAGTGAGTCATGAGCTGGACCCAGGATCTTACCCCCTTTAATCACAGAGGTTATTTGTTGAGATGTTTTGGGGTTTCTTTCTGATAAGTTCTGACCCCCAGAGACCTTTCCTTTGGGATTTCCCCACCCCTAGGTCACTAGCAGCTGCCCTCTCTGGTAGCTAGCACCATCAGCACGACTGACTGCACCTTCCAGGGCAACACGCCAGTGATGCTCCTTAACTGCCAGGAAGGGGAGGGCTTTCACAATAAAGCAACAGAAGGAATTCCCCTCTCTCAATCCTCTCCTGGCTCCACAGCACCTGCTAACCCAGCTGGCCACAGGCACAGAAGATCCAGAGTGGGACTCAAACCTGGATCTCAGCAGCAGATTCCCCTTGGTTAGCAACACAGACACCTACCTGCCACTGGCAGAGAAGACCATTTCAGCAGCGAGGGCATCTCGTTTTCTATCTCCTGGAGCCTTAGAAGAAAAGCGGAACACAGCCTACTAGAAACAGTAAGCAAGGGGAGGCAGACCCTGACCTTTCTCCTTCAGCACTATAGTCACTCTGTAACCTGATGCCAGATTGCCAGAGTCTGGTCCACCTCTCTCATGGACCTTGTCACAGAAGACACTCCTCCTCTCACACAGTGTTTATTAGCATCTCCAAGGAAACAGCTCCCTATTCATCATCCACCAGGGGCTCCTCTACCATAGATCCTCTCTCTCCCCCACATGGCAAAATTATCACACTCCTGGGCACAATGTAAGACGCTTGGCAATACCTGTATAGCTTGGCATGCCGATGAAGTCTCCTCTAATTGAATTCTATCAGCTGCTTCTGCAGAATGGCAGGAGATGCTGCAGATCATGAGAGATGTCAGAGCTGCTGCATGAAAAAATCCCACAAATAGAATAACAGGGAGTAGAGCCTGTAAGGATCGAGGGGTATTGACAGAGCCAAGGCTGGTATTGGCCAGTCAAAGATAGGATATGGGACCAGATTACCTGACTCAGCATGGTAATCTCCATTAATTTCAGAGGTTCTATTACCTCTGCTCTCAGGATCCCCCAATCATTGTTGCTCCCCCCATTGCTGCCACCTCATCCTGGCTCTATGCATGGGCTGGGAAGACAGAGGCTTTCTGCTCTTTCCACCCATTCAAGAGCATATCGGAGCAGAGGTTGCTCTTGCATGAGGAGCCCAGGACTTTTAGGCTTAGCTCAGGCCCCACACAAAAAAGTTATATTGGCATAGCTACACTGGTCAAGGGGTATGGAAAAACCGCAGCCCGACCAACACAGCTATACCGACAACACCCCCAGGACAGACACAGCTACGCTGACAGAGGATGGCCTCTGTCAATGGAGCTAATGTCATCCAGGGAGGTGGTGTTCCTACAGTGATGGAAAAACTCTTTCTGTCAGTGTAGGCTGCGTCTGTGCTAGTAGGCTATGCCGACGTAGTTACATTGGCATATTCTCCATAGTGTAGACATATCTTCAGTCTGAGAAGTCAGAGAGTGGTTCAGCCCCACTTACCAGCAAAAAAAATGTTCTATAATATTCTTGCGAGGAGAAGGAAAGCTTACTGGTATAGGGATACCGACACACTGTACCAGCAAAGCGCTCCTAGTGTGGGAGTAGCTATACTGGCAAGGCTATTACCGGTATAATAAAATTACCCCCATGAGCAAAACGAGCTATACTGGGAAAGGCACAGCTTTGCTGGCATAGCTGCACCTACCCTAGGGATTTCGCCCAACCCAGCTATGCCAGATCACAACTCTTCACACCCCTGACTAACAGCTGTGCTGACAGAAGTCCCTAGTGTAGAACTGCCCCTAGAGTAAGACACTTAAGGCCGGAACTTTTGCTGGTATAAAGCAAATATGCCAGTTTACCCTCCCTGTGGACATGGCCCTTAAGTTTCAAGAAGCCAGGCAGCTTGAGACAAGGGACACACAGCCTCTCTGCACTAGGGTGTTGGTCCAATTCCAGCACCTGGTTGGATGTGTCCTTGACCAGGCTGTACTAGAAACGTTTGCCAGTCTAGCAATGTCAGTTAGAGGTGGGATTTTTTTCACAACATTTCTATTCCACCAAAAGCCAGAATCAGTGATAGTGGCAGAAAGTGACTTTACCGGAGAGCTGATTTCATTAGTGCCATACACTCTCCTGGCAAAAGAACTCTCTCATCAATATAAGCTAGGGCTGTGGGAGAAGGGTTTGCTGGCATAGCTATAGTAGTGGCAAACCTTTTCTAATGCAGATTAGGCCAAAGTCATCCTAATTTGCTTCACAAAAGCTCTTTGGTAGGTCTGGTCTGATTCCCAGCAAGACAAGTCCAAATACCAAAACTCAGCATCCTGCCCACCTGGCCCTGCCTTTGCAGCCTCAGCAAACAGGCCAAGGACTGAGAGCACCAAGGAGAATGAACTGACCCCTTAGCTGTGGTCCCCCTGGGCTGAGGCACAGTGGGAAACACCATTGCTACCTACCCAGCCCGTACTTATCCCAGAAACTACAAGCCAGGATTTCGCTCTGACACCCTCCCCAGCACTAGCCTCACTCAGTCAGTACAAAGGGGAGATTTCTAAAAGGAGGAAGCTAGGTAAGAACCACACCAAGGGGAAAGGAGATCAGAAGGCAGGAGGGCACCTGTGCAGCGGCTGTTCACATACCTCCAGGAGTCCACACGGCTGCGTCTAGCCACAAGCAGCTGCACAGACTGAGCCCTGAGTCGGCTCAACGCAGAGAGCAGGAGGGGAGGACTCAGACAGCCACTTCCTAGTAGCTACAGCCGGAACTACAGAGAAGGTCCTCCCCCTGTGGCTGCAACGCTTAAAGGGACCTAATACTGCCCCTTCTCCAGCTCTCCTCTGTAGCCTCATTGCTGTACACAACTTAAGGATGGTGGTGGGGTGGTGCCCTTTTAAAACTGTTATCCAGCAGTAGTGATGATAACCGTACCTTACACTTCTGTAGCACTGTCTGTGCTGAAGGGAGCCTGCTTATCTGTGCACTGCCTAGAAAGGGAGTGTTTCTTCCACTGCTGAAATGCAGCCACTGCTGCTTTGGTGTATTCAGCTTTTCTTTAACAGCACGCAGCAAACACTAGGCCAGTGATTCCCAAAAGTGTTCTGCCGCTTATGCAGGGAAAGCCCCTTGCGGGCCGGTTTGTTTACCAGCCGCGTCCGCAGGTTCGGCCGATCGTGGCTCCCACTGGCCGCGGTTCGCTGCTCCAGGCCAATGGGAGCTGCTGGAAGCAGCGCGGGCCAGGGGATGTGCTGGCTGCCGCTTCCAGCAGCTCCCGTTAGCCTAGAGCAGCGAACCGCGGCCACTGGGAGCCGCGATCGGCTGAACCTGCGAACGCAGCAGG